CCCAACCAGCTGCGGTCCCCGCCCTCTGGACCCCTCACATGTTCCCAGTACTGAGAGCTCACAGCAGCTGGCTGTCTTCTTTCTGGACATCCTGCCATATCTGGTAACCCATAATCCTTTGTGAAAATGGTGAACTCAAGAGTGAGCTCACTGCACAAAGGCAGTAAGTGTAGTGTTTATAAACAATGTAAAGTCTAGAGGTAGGTTCAAGTTAAAACTCTGCTACTACCCTATGACCTTGAACAAGGTTGATCCCTGTGAGCTGGTATCTTTACTGTAAAAATAATTGGGAATAAAACTTGTCCCTACGTCATTGTCTAGTTACAAAGAGTAGATGGGATAAGGAGTGTGCCAGCGTCACAGCACACAGCCGCCAGGGAGCGGCAGCTAATGTTACCGTTTAGACCCTGCAGAGTTCATCTGCATGTGTGTTTTCTTAGTCATTTGGGCTCCTGTAATACACTGCCACAGAGTAAGTGGCTTGTAAACAAGAAGCTTATTCCTCTTTACCCCAGAGGCCGGTGTGTCCAAGATTGGGGCGCTGGCAGACTCAGTGTCTGGGGGGGCCCACTTCCTGGCTGGTAGATCATCATCTTCTGGTTGTGTCCTCACAGGGGGGAAGGGGGAGGGCTTTACGGGGTCTCTTTTATAAGGACATTGACCCCAATCAAGAGGACACTACCCTCATGACCCGCTCACCTCCCAGAGGTCCTACCCCAAATGAGCCTTGGGCTCACCACATGGCAGAGTACAGGTCTGTACACGTGTAAGGATTACACTCAGGATTATACTCTTTTGCTTTTCTTCGCCATTCCTCCCTTCAGAGAACCTCACCACCTCAAAGCCAGAGACTGACTCCGGGCCACTCTCCAGGTGGGTGAGAGAAGGGTTGGCACCATGGAGCAGGAATACTGGGGTCTTCTTGGCCCAGTGTGGGGGCTGGTGTGGGTGCATGGAGGTTGGGGCACAGGAGAGGAGCCCAGAGTGGAGGCAGCAGACTGCTGGCCACTGAGGGTCTGGAAACCAAGCGGTAGGAGAGGCGGGGGAGGCCCGGGCAGCAGAGCAGGATGATCACCAGAGCTGGCCGGTGAATGGCGCATGCTCACTTCTGCCGTCTGTTCCCCTCAGCTTAGGCACAGCAGCCACGGCTGTTTCTGGCTCCGTTGGGGTTCTGGCCCTCCTCTTGCTCCTGGTGGGTCTCTTGTCCATGACCCTGAAGAAATGGAGGCACGAGAGTAAGTAAGAGTTGATGCTGGGGCTGGGAACCAAGGGAGAACCCAGTGGCCGAGAGGGAGGTGTCTTTGTGTGGGGGAGGGGCAGGTGTGGGGTCTCTTTTCTAGAGTTCCCAGGGATCCATACGTATTTATAATATAAATTCTTTTTTATTGTTGTAATTTGTTTTTATTGTTCACTCACCAAATTATTTTTAACCTAGATGTGATATAAGTTCTCAAAGCTAAAACCATCTACAAGCAATCTGTGTACATTGACGCTTTATATGCATTAACTAAAAGAAATATCAATGCCAAATAATCTCATCCCAATAGCCCCAAATTATAAGGTGTGCCATCCATGCTCACCCCTGTCTCTTCACAGGCATTTAGCTTGGTTTCAGGCTCAGTGAGCTGAACATGCTAGAAAACCTGCATTTCAAAGTTCAAATCTAAGTCCAGCCGTCAACCAAATAAAGGTGATCACCACCCCATCTCTGGCTCACCCTAAGTTTACTCATTTTTCTAGGACTATTTAAGAAACAGCTGAGACATCAAACCAAATTTCTCCACAAATCCTCGGTAAGGAAATAGCCAAGTTGTACCTAGAGATTCACATGATGGCCATGTACCTTCAGCCTGTTCTCTAGAAAGACCCGGTGAGCGGGTGGTGGGCATGAGGCAGAGAGCAGCCGGAAAAGAAATGGTTGAGGAGGGTGGGCTGAAGGCTCGCTCAGCAGGGACCCAGCGCCCCGCTGCTAGGCTTCCAGCAGCAGGGACAGCCTAGTTGCTGGTCTTGTCTTTGGAAATGTCTGGTGCCCAGCACCTGCCTCTCACCAGGGTGTGTCTCTTAAGGAGCTTTCCTGCCACGCTGACGCCATATATGCCAACGTGATCAACCTGGCCCCCTGGAAGGAGGATGACTGCGCAGTCTATGCCAACGTGCCCTCTTTCGACCGCCCCAGGAGGGCTGCGCCGGACCAAGTGGAATATGCAGCCATTGTCTTCCACTGATGGGAGGGAGCTGGAGACGCTGCGGGCCAAGGAGGCCCGCTCCCAAGACCCTGGCGTGGCTTTTCCTTTAAAGGGGGAATGCGTGTGTGTGCGTGTGTGTGTGTGTGTGTGAGTGTGTGTGCATGTGTTTTAATGCATGAAACATTCTGATGGCGGTAGATGACTGGATATTTCTTGTAATTTACTGGCAGCAAAGTGAAGTTCTAATCAAAAGGAGCAGCATATGAAAGACAGAAGGACCTGCTGTTCCCAGAAGCAGCTCCCTGAGGTAGCCTGGCCAACAGAGGAGCCCATCAAGATGCCCCCTCTGAGGCCAGGCTGAGGGCAGGGTCCACTCTGTTCAAGAACCAGATGGGATTTGCCTCTCATGCCCTGCAGGGTCAGGAGCCTATTGACCACATAGGAGTGATTCAGCGTCATCTCTGGGGCTGAGGGGTATGAGTGCAGGGACCTGTGTGTCCACTGCTGGACAGGACATCAGGCCTTGGGGGTGGGACGTGGGGGTGCAGCAACATGAGAGGCACTTCTCAAGGGCGGAATGAGATAGGGTGAGCTCCCACAGAGAATGGACGGCCATTTGGGGCAGTAGCGGTGGGACAGGACTGCCCAGGGGAGCTTTGGGGAGCTTTGGAAGATGCCTGGAACTTTGTAACTGGGTCACTCTTTCTTTCTTCATTTAGAAACACTCATGAAATACCATGTTCTAGACCCTGGAAGTACAGCAGGGACGCCAACAGACAAAACCTTGAGTGGTGGGATGTAGGGAGCTCTGGGTGAAGCAAGCTGCTGTTTCAGTGTGGAGAGTCAAAGAAGTCCTCCCTGATGCTTGACCTGTAGGAAATGAGAAGTGAGATCTGAGAATAAATGGGGAAGAGCATTTCAGGCAGAAGGAACAGCAATACACAGGCCCTGAGGCGAAAGTTTACCTTACATGGTCAAAGAACAGAAGGAGGCAGGCATGTCTGCAGAGGGGTGGTGTCAGGGAACGAGTTCTGGGAATCAGCGTCTTGTTTCACCTCAGTGCAGAGCCCCTGTGCCGCCAGCGGTGCCCCTTTCCTGCCACTGTCACTCACTAAGCTCCAGATTTCACAGGAGTCACTCAGAGAACACTCCAGGACCTGATTCTTGGTGTCCACGCCACCCTAACCCTGTCGTCGTTGTTGTCGAGGGAGACTTGTGGCCATGTAAACAGTGCTCCCGCGCCTGAGCACAGTCCCTAAGGCGTGAGCTTCTAGTTATCAAAGATGCCACTGGGTGTCGATATGGAAGGATGAAATGAGATCAATGACCAAACAAGTTTGCAAGATGGCGAGTAAGCAAAGAGCAGTGAAGAAAAGAAAATTTCACTTAAAACCAAAGCTGACAGAAGCCACTTCCACCTTCTCCAGAGGGTGCCTTTTCACGTTGTTAAGAAAACATGTATTCTCCACCCCTGGGGACTGAGGGAGGAGATGGTAGAAAGGGTGCAGGGAAATTTTCGAGATTCTGCCACCTTTTCGTCTTGATAAAGGGCAAGTCCAGGAGTTGGTGCTGTTTCAGCGGAGATCACATGCCTGGCTCGCCAGGGGCTTTTCCTAGTGTTCACTTGTCCCAGCAAAACTATTATTAGGTCAACTCTCACTCCCCAAAGGGTCACATTTTGGAAGATAATTCTTGTGGTCGCTGTTAACAAGACTTTGAACGTACAAAAGTAGGCCCAAGAGCAAATAAGGGAAGAGATGGTGTTTACTACAATAAAGTGAGGAGAATAGACCTGGGGTGGGAGCAGAGGAGGCTGCAAGAATAGGAGAGGAAAGTTGTTTTTTTTTTTTTAAGATTTATTTATGCAGACAAGAGCTGGGGTGTAGGCCAGAGTTGTAGGTGTGGATGAGAGAATTCGCCAGAGATAGAGTGGGGAGCAGAACAGAGGAATCCATTGAGATACACTGCTGAGGGGAGCAGTGGGTGAGATAGAAGAGGTCTGCTGTGCCATGTGGGTAGCTCCCTGGCTGGGGATCAAACTTGTGTTGCAGTGGCTGCAGATAGCTTCATAGTGCTGATGCCTAACCCCTTGTGCCACCAGAGAGGCCTAGGAGAGGAAAGTTTTGAGGGGAAAAGGGACTGAAAACACAGAAAAGACTTCGGGCTAGCTTGGGGGATCCTGGGGAACACACAGCACCTTCTGTGGGTGTTTTAGGGAAGGGAAAATCATTGTCAGGGGACTGAATCCACATCTGTCAGCACAGAGCAGAAATAAGGGAAGTGGTAAGAGGTGTGATATGAATGATGTAGACAATTTGGGACAACTTTGAGCTGGAAGTGATCACAAGAACACAACCCCCCAGAAAATTCTCAGAAATCTCAGGAAGGCAACAGAGTTTCCAAAGAACCTGCCTTTGGGAGAGTAAACCAATTGTTTGGTATTTTTGTTTGTTTTTTATTGAGGTTACATTGGTTTACAACACTGTGTATAATTTAAGGGGGTAGGTTCACATCTCCTTAGATGTGTGTTGCCACCCCACATCTTGCACCAAAGTACCCATAGCCCTCCACCATAGACCATGGGGTCCCTCCCTTCAGTTTCCCCCACTGACAGTCCCACAAAATATAAGCATCCTGCATACAATGCCAGTGATAATGCAGTTGAGAGACCCTACTCTGGGGTCTTCCTGGAGCTCCTGGGGAGCCTGCCTTGTGCTGCCTCCTATAGATATTTTAACATGAAAATGTTCCCCCAAGCTTGAGACCCCTGGAGATTCCAACAACAGTAAATGAACACTAAGTGGTGATTTAAAAATCCCAGAAACTGGAAGAATGGATGACCAATCAGCCAGTCCAATTTCCTGGGATGCCCCAGTTTTAGCACAGAGCATTCTAGAACCCAGGAAGCCTCTTCATCAGGGCTGCTAGCAGCCGGGGCTCTCTGATACTTGAAGAACTTTGTGACTTTAGAGCAAGCAGTTTCCCTTCAGTTAGGTGGGGAGAATTTGGACATTTCCAGATGAAGCCCTGGCTGGGCACTAAGACACAGACACATGCCTGCAGCTTGTCCCCAGAAGTCGTCCATGACCTACCCGCTTTGCAGGGTGACTGTCTTCCTCTCCTTACCCCAAACCTTCCATGTCTCCTGCATGATCTACTCTCACAGATGCTGCTCAGTGTATTTTGCTGAATAGGTACTGCTCTTCTAGAAGGTTCTTGGAAATTTTGGTCAGTAGACTGAGGAACTTCAAGACAATTAGCCATATGGCAGTTACTTTTCTCCCAGGAAAATATAATTCTGTAAGACTGTGAATATCCCCCAAAGAGAATGTGTCTAAGTTTTAACAAGGACAGGGATTCAGAACATGGAAGCTTTGCAAGGTCTTGAGAGAAATCTGCATGTTGAAAATGCAGCTCATTGGTCTCTTAATGTTTCTATTAGAGGATAGAAAAAGCCAGCTTCTCAGTGCCCATAAAGGAGGAATATTTTATCAAAGCATAATTTTACAATTACTGGCTCTTGGTGATAATAAAAAGGAGATTGCCTTCAGTAGATTGTTGTTGGTTTTTTTTTTTTTTTTTTGAGAACAAGCCTTAAGTATCATTTAGCAACAGCTCCTCATAAACAGGAACTAAGCAAATAAATAAATAAATCACTCAGACCCTAATTTTTCACTTCCTCAGGAGCCAATGATCTAGGTGTGGAGTTAAAACAAAACAAAAAGAGTGAAAGGAATTTTTGCAACAAGGTAGGCTAGCCCAGAAAGAGGAAGTACAAACTCAGTGCACACAATTGATGAGTGTGGAAGAATTTCTGTCGTTCCAAAAGATTCTTGTTTTTATAAAAGGCTGTGTGTCAGGCTTTGTGAAAATAGTGGCTTCCCTTATATACTCTGGAACTATGTGTCTGGGCACAGTTGACATAAACTTAGTTTTTACCAGATGGTAACTACTTAATTCATCAATGTCTTCTGAAAACACCCCAACTAAGGCAATCATGATGACACAAGAAAGTGGGGGACAGTCAGAGACCCCAGTATGTTAAATAGCTGTTCCTTGAGGTCTGGCATCCATGAACTCCCTCCCCATTCCTCCCATGTTCTTTGCCATTTGCCATGATTTGGGGTCTCCCTGGCAGACACCATCTGTCTCTCTGATATGGGCACATGTGCCAGTGATGCCAACGATGCTGGGTTGATGCTGCCCTGGTCCTTTGCCCTCCCACTGTATCCCCAAAGGCTTCAGAGCCATCTGCTCACTGATGCCAATGAAATCCACACCCCCAGTTGCAGACAGGTGCATGCTTTGTTTATTGGACTTCACCTCTTGGGCATATAATAACAATACTAATAATGATCAATATTTGTATAATCTTCACACACACACCACAAGTGCCTCCCATATACCGACTCATATAACACTGGAGAAAGCTACTTTATTCCCATGTCCAGGAAATGGTGTCTCAGAGAGGGCAGGTTACAACAGTTAGGAGGCAGAGCCAGCTGCTTCAGAGTCTGGTCCTAACGCACTGGCCTCCTCAATGCTCAGACTTGACACACCAGGAACAAAGCACCGGCTGCTCTGCTGTAACCTCTACTGCATCACCATCCACCCACAAAACCTGTGAGTCACCTGGACATTCTCTTCTTTACACCTCCTTTCTAACTAGCTCAATCACCAAGCCCTTCTACCGACTTATGAAATCTTATGCACAAGCCTTATTTAGAAAATCTGTTTGACTGTCTTTGGCCTTTCAACAACCCTGCTGGTGTGATTTCTGGCCTGAAGTCTAGGCCCCCGATTTCCTATGACCCCTGCATAACTTTACCCTGTACAAAAGTGAAACATTTGACATTTTACTGAGCACACATTTTTCCAGTATTGTTGTCCTCTAGGTGGAATCTTCTGTAGGAGCTGCTGCTGTTTAAAGGACAAACCGCAGACCCACAGCTGCCTTGGATCTGCACAACCGAGCTGACGGGTGCAAAAATGTGACCGGAGGGAAAGCACATACCTTCAAGACAACCCTGTCCTTGTCTGCTTCAAAAGTGGCTCCCTCCCCACCCCCAAGCAAGAAGTCGCTTTGTAACACTTGTTTCCCTTCCCCGTTGCCTGTCAGACAAAAAACCGTGCTGCTGAGCTCCATGGAGCCCCATCGTTGCATTCATGGCTTTGGATGGCGGGGTCAGTGACAGGACCGTGTCTTGTCTTCTTCCCTCTGTACCACACACGTGTAGCGCAAGGCCAGGGACATTGTGGACCACCAAGAGCCACCCGTGGAATGAATGAGTGAGTGAATGAGAGGCAAAGCTGTGTGTAGGGAATAGCCAAGTGGCCATATTTACAAAGTCCTCAAATTAAAAAAAAAAGTCATGTCAATTTTATTGATAGAGTATATAACATTCCATGGTTTTTAGTATATTCACAAGTGTGCAACCACCCCACAATCAATTTTATAGCATTTTATTTTTTATTATTTTTAAATTTAAATTTTATTTTTTATATTCCCCATACAATTACAACCCCCTTATTTTGACCCCAAGCCCTCCTTTCCCCGCTCCCCACCCCTCATAGAATGTCTCTGGTTCATAGTTGTTTGTCGATTTTGATATTTTCTTTCTTATAGTTATTCTTTTTCCTGGTCCCTTATTTAGGTTTTCTAGATTCCTGCTATGAGTGAGACCATCCGGTATTTTTCTTTTTCTTTCTGGCTTATCTCGCTGAGCATGATCCCTTCCAGCGCCATCCATGTTGCTGCAAATTGCATGTGTTTATCTTTTTTGAATGCTGAGTAATATTCCATGGTGTATATATACCACATCTTCTTGATCCAGTCATCTATTTTTGGGCATTTGGGCTGTTTCCAAAGCTTAGCTATTGTAAATAGTGCTGCTATACACATAGGGGTGCAGGTGCTCTTTGGAATTGATGTTTCTGTGTCCTTTGGGTAAATACCTAGGAGTGGAATTGCTGGATCGTATGGAAGCTCTATGTTTAGTAGGTCCAGAAATCTCCACACAGCTCTCCGTAGTGGTTGGACCAGTTTGCACTCCCACCAGCAGTGCAGGAGAGTTCCTTTTTCTCCACATCCTTGCCAACATTTGTTGTTGCTAGTTTTTTTAATATGTGCCATTCTCACTGGTGTAATTAACGGTGCTTCATGGGGGTTGATTGACTATTGAATAGTTCTGCAAGGTGGGAATTGTAATGCATCAATCACTCTTTAGTTTATAAAGTGAGACATTGATTAATAAAATGTTTACTCCGAAAGGAAAGGAGAGGGTGGTAGAGATAGGGGTGGGGGGGAGGTGAAGGGGGCAAAAGCCCCTGCTCACACCACTGAACTGAGCTGACGCTGAAGGCCAGGAGTGGGCTTCCTCTGTACTGGCATGTGAGCTTAGGGTAGCTCTGCTCAGCCCAGCAGTGTCCACAGTCCCTCACTGAGGCAGAGTCAATTAGCTGTGGATGCCAAAGTAGGGAAAGTGCACAAAGCTTGTGACTTTTTTGAATTGAAAAATCTGAACGTGAATACAGATTCTGCTATCCTGCAAACCTGCATCTCCATATATGCCTGTGCTCAATTAACAGTAAAGCTTTTTATTACTAGCAATAAACAGACCTGAAAAAATAAAACACTCATGGAAAAACATGATATAATTAGTGAAAAAAAACAGAAACCGCAATACAGGGAGACACTAAGCTCGTCCTGAGAGCAGCAGGTAACCACAATGCAGGTGCCGTGTCTCTGTTCTCTGACTGGACACCCCCCCTGGAGCTTCATTGGAAGGAAATAGCCTAAAGTAAGCCACAAAATGTATGTGCAGAGTTACCCGTGACAGTGTTGTCTGCACTGGAAATAATGGGACAGCCACAGACTGGCTGGGACTTAGGGTCATATCAGTGAAGAGGGTAACAGGGAGCCTCTAAAAATGTCACAAAAACAACTTGGGGGCAGAGGGACCCACATGTGCTTCCACCCTGAGGTGGGAGGGAGCCCTAAAATCCTTGCAAGTATGCAGGGATGGTGTTATGTGAAAAATATATTAGGGGTGACTGGATAGTGAGTAGGCCTCCCCACTTTCAAATAGTCCCTAATCATGTTGACATACCATTTTCCTCCCTTAAAAAAGGAGAGGTGTGTTGATTGTCCTGCAGAGAGCAAGGGTATTCTCTGGGCAACCCTGTTCCACAAAGGTCAGAGGCGTGGTGTCCAGGAAAGAGGCCGTCAATGGAAAGTGGTGGGGGGAGGGGTAGGATAGGAAGTGACAGTGTGTTATCAGCCTAATCAGCGCCCCTTCTCCGTCAGATGATAAACTATCAAAAGTAAGCTTCCTGTCGATGTACAGATGTTATGACTTCATTTATCACCCATTCCCCCCCCCCGCCCCCCGTGCAGAGAGCAATGCCCATCTCTAGGGGCTTGGCAGGGGGAGGCGGCCTTGGACTTCAGTGATGAATATTCCACTGGATTCCACAAATCCATTCCCAGGGGCCTCTGGCTGGGAACAGGTTAAGTGCCTTTGTGAGCAAATCATCATGTCATCTTGGGTAAGACTTGGCACCTACACCTGCCTGTGTATCACAGGGCACTTCATTCACTCATTTATCCATGCCCCAATTGTGGGTTCACACCTACAAGGGACGATAGGCAGAGTGCTGGCCACTGCAGAGAAGGGGGAGAACAGCCCTCAATAATTCTTACTTTGCTGTTTAGAGGAGAGTTATGCACGATTAATCAAGAACTCCTTATAATTGTTCGTGAGTAAAATTTGGTCCAAAGACAGCGAATATGATGGAGCTCCTGGTCACCAAGGGCCTCGTCAGGCGTGTGTACTCTCATTGCAACACTGCCCTCCTAAGCATGTGCACGCGGAGCATCCAAAACACACAAAGATCCTCAACAGGGGCACAATCTTGTGAGCCTTGGGGTGGCATCCTGGAAGGTTCTGATCCAAGAAATCATGCAGAGGACCAGAGCAGTAGGAATGTATGCAGCTCTGCTTGCTGCTTTATCTACAGTGGGTTCATGGAGGAAGGTGACAGAAGTAGTGAGTCAAGAATCTTTTTTTTATTTAAGATTTATTTATTGATGCATACAAAACTGGGGTACAGGCCAGAGGTGTGGGGGGTGAGAGGATTCACCAGAGACAGAGTGGGGAACAGAACAGGCAGACTGAAACACCGCTGAGGGGAATAGCGGGAGAGGTCTGCTGTGCCATGTGGGTAGCTCCCTGGCTGGCTGGAGATCGAACTCGCGTGGCAGAGGCTGTAGACAGCATCACAGTGCTATGCCCAACCCCTTGCACCACCAGGAAGGCCTGACTCCCATAGACTAACTGCAGGTGAAGTCAGTTACTTAGAGGTGATACGGGCAGGGTGTAGAGAGTCCAGCGAGGTAGGAAATCGCTCTCGGCAGCTTCAGTGTTCTCATGTATTCCAAAATCCTGCATGATAGTGAAATCTCATAACATAAGTACACAAAGGAAAGAGAATAGCAGCTATAGGCATTTCTGCAATGAGGGTTCTAGAACAAC